AAAAAAAAAAAAAAAAAAAAAAAAAAAAAAAAAGTAGGGGAAGCAGTCCTCAAATCATTCCTGGAAGCAATTGTTATGGAAGGAATCAGTACATGACACACAAAGAGGCAGCAGAATGGAAGTAAAATAACAAATTTACTCATCTATAAGGGTTGATTGCACATAAGCTGTGTCTGGATCGATGACACACTGGGTTACAACTCCTTTTATAGGGTTTCACAGCCTTGACTTCATGTGGGTAGTTACACTTCATTCTCACAGTTCAAATCATGGTCACAGAATAGTTCATCTTTTCAACCCGGATGTGACAGTTCTTTGCAGTTGGGGAGTTTACCTTTAAGATTCGCCTAGTTATCTATTCTAGTCCATAGAAAGAGGGTGTTCAGGGTCAGGAGAGCAAATGTTAACAATGGTTCTTTCATTTATACACTTTTAGGGTCAGGTGGCTCCAGTCTCATCGGCTCGAGACCTTGATGTGCTCCGTTATCTCAGGGTGAGACCAAATGCCTCATTCAGCAATTAGTGCCTTCGGTGCCTATTAGTTTTGAGCTAAACAAAACAAACTGCTGTTAGAGACAGCAGAAGCCATTTTACATTGTAACAATTTATAGGTTTTGCTATTTATAAAAGTTTTCCCTATCACAATTGTCCTGATACCAAAACCAGAGAAGGATCCAACCAAAAAGAGAACTACAGTCCAATCTCCTTAATGGACCTGTATGCAAAAATCCTCAATAAAGGCTGGGGATTTAGCTCAGTGGTTTGGTGACCTGCCTTGCAAGCGCAAAGACCCGAGTTCAATCCCTGGTACCATAAAAAAACAAAACAAAACAAAACAAAAAAAACTCACAGCATGTTCAGGCTGGGGATTTAGCTCAGCGGTTCGGTGGCCTGCCTTGCAAACGCAAGGACCCAAGTTCAATCCCCAGTACAAAAAAAAAAAAAAAAATCCTCAATAAGATACTAGCAAACAATGCAGCAAATCATCAATGAGATTATACATTATGACCAAATACGATTCATCCCAGGCATGCATGGATGGTTCAATATATGGAAATCAATAAATGCAATACACCCCATTAACAGAATCAAGGACAAAAACCATATGATCATCTTAATACATACAGGAAAAGCTTTTGACGATTCTAATACCCATTCATGATAAAAACCCTACAGAAAATTGGAATAGAGAGTCTTTATCTCAATCTAATAAAAACCATCTATAATAAACCAACAGCCAACATCATATTAAATGGTCACAAACTGAAAGATTTCACTCTAAAATCAGGAACAAGACAAATATACTCACGATCACTACTCCTATTCTAGATAGTTCTAGAAGCAGCCAGAACAATTAGACAAGATGAAATAAAAGGAGTATGGACAGGAAAGGAAGAAGTTAAATTATTGTTATTTGCCGATGACATGGTACTTGACATAGAAGACCTCCCAAAATTCCACCAAAGGACTTCTAGAATTGATAACCAAATTCAGCAGCATAGCAGGATACAAAGTCAACACTCAAAAATTAATGGCAATTCTGTACATGAATAACAAAGAAATTTGGGAGACAACACTTTCATGATAGAATCAAGAAAAGTAAAATACTTAGAAATCAGTCTAACAAAGAAAGTGAAAGACCTATACATTAAAACTACGGTACTCTGAAAAAGGAAATCAAGGAAGATATCAGAAAATAGAGAGATATCCCCTGTTCTTGGATAGGCAGAACCAATATAGTGAAAATGGCCATACTTCCAAAACTGTTATACATATGTAATGTGATCTACATCAAAACACCAAAAGCATATCTCACAGAACTAGAGAAAACAATCCTAAAATTCATATGGAACCAGGAGAGACGTAGAATAGCAAAAGCAATTCTGGGCAAAAAATGCAAGGCAGGGACATCAGGATTCCCTGTTTGAAGTTATACTACAAAGCTATTGTGATAAAAATAGCATGGCACTGGAAAAAAAAAAACAGACCTGAGGATCAATGGAACAAAATAGAAAATGCAGAAACAACTCCAAGCACACTCAGCTACCCTATCTTTGACAAAGGGGGCAACCACCTTCACTGGAAGATAGTCTTTTTAGTAAAGTTTTCTCTTTAATAAATGGTGCTGGGGATGCGGAGTGTGGTGGTGCACATCTGTAATCCCAGCACTCAGGAGGCTGAGCCAGGAGGATCACTGCAAGTTTGAGGCCAGGCTTGGCTATATAATGAATTAAAGTTTAGCCTGAGCTACAATTAGCAAGAACCTATTGCATTGGCTGGGGATTTAGCTCAGTGGTACCGTGCCTGCCTCACAATCACTAGGTACTGAGTTCAATCCCCAGTACCAGGGGTCGGGATGGAGGAACCTATTGCAAATAATAAGTGCTGGGAGAACTGGCTTTCCACATGCTGAAAATGGAACCTAGACCCATATCTCTCACCATGCACTAGACTAAAATAAAAATGAAGCAAAGATATAATTATAAAAACCAACACACTTAACCTGCTGGATGATAGAATAGGTAAAACTCTGGAAGACATAGGCATAGGCAAAGGCTTTATGAACAAAATCCTGACTACACAGGAAATATTACAAGGAATCAACAGCTGGGATCTCATCAAATTAGAAAGCTTCTGATGGGCCGGGTTTTGGCTCAGTGGTACTGTGCCTACCTTGCAAGTGCAAGGTCCTGAGTTTGATCCCTGGTATTGCAAAAAACAAACAAACAAACAAACAAACAAAGTTTCTGCACAGGAAGAAAAGAAAAGAAACCCGCCAACAGCACGAAGAGACAACTCACAGAATGGGAAAATTTTTGCTATGCTAGCCACTCCTCAGACAAAGGACTGAAAAAATCAGACCCCCCCCAAATTTAAAGACCCAATTCAAGAATGGGCATTTGAAATGAAAAGACATTTCTCAGATGAAGTACAAACAGCAAATAAATATATTAATAATGCTCAACATCACTCATCACTCAAGAGATGCAAATTAAAACAACACAGAGATTACATCTCACTCCAGAAAAAATGGCTGTTACCAAGAAATCAACCAAGAGCAAATGCTGGTGAGGCTGTAGGGGAAAGGGAACCCTTCTCCACTGCTGTTGGGAGTGTAAACTGGTACAACCACTATGGAGATCAGTGTGGAGATTCCTCAGAAAACTAAAACTAGAGGTTCTGTTTGACCCGGCTGGTCCCCTCCTAGATATCTTCCTAAGAGTCAAAAGCATCATACCACAGCCATATATGCACACCCATGTGTATAGCAGCACGATTTGTAATAGCTAAATCTTGGAAACAGCCCATGTGCCCATCAACGGATGGATAAAGAAGATGTGGTGTTTATATACAATGGGGCCACAAAGAAAACTAAATTTAGATCATTTGTAGGAAAATGGATGCCCCTTGAGACCATACCCTTATGAAATAAATTAGACACACAGGTTTAAATATCACATTGCTTCTGTTCTGTGAGAAACGCAAAGAAAGGAAAAACCAAAGGGTAAACTGGTAGCAATGGAGGATAGACATTGGGGAGTAGGAAGAACAAGTTCCAGTGGGAAGGAGGGGGAGAAAGAGGAAAAAAGAGAATGGGAGGGAAAAGTGGAAATACAGCCTGTGTAAATGGGGAGAGGGACGGACAGGAAGGAGGGGAGGGGACTGGGAAAAGAAGAATTAAGGTAGGTACAGGGCTGGGGATGTAGCTCAGTGATACCATGCCTGCCTTGCAAGTGCAAGAGCCTGGGTTTGATCCCCAGTAATGGGAGAAAGCAAAACAAAACAAAACAAAAACCTATGTTATATACAGATACGAATTCCTCTTTTTTTTTTTTTTTTTTTTTGTACCAGGGATTGAACTTGGGGTCTTGCACTTGTGAGGCAGGTGATGAAACCACTGAGCTAAACCCCTGGCCCGCAAATTCCTTATGATGAATATGATCAATATGTATGACAAATATGTACTAAAGTTTAAAAATAAAATTTAAAAAATATGATTTAGTGTCAAGACATTTTATTTGTTTGGGCTAAACACATCATTTACTTAACACATATTAATTTAAAAATGCCCAGCTTATAACAAGATATACTGTGTTCATTGCAACTGACCAAAGCTTAAATTCTCCTGAAATAAATATTTCATAAGTTATTTACTTTTACAAAATTGCATTTCAACCAGGCCTGGTAGTGCATGCCTGTAATGCCAGCACTCAGAAGACTGAGGCAGGAGGATCTCCAAGAGTTTGAGGCCAGCTTGGACTACATAGCAAGACCCTGTCTCAAAAAACAAACAAAACAAAACAAAACGAAAAGAGTATTTCAGGAACAATCTATAGATGAATATTAAGCTTTCCTTTTCATGGTTATAGCATTATCTTTTTATAATAAAACATGCAAAAATTATTTGATTAGGCTCCTTTTTATGTTTTCTTGCATAATGAACGACATTAGGTATTACAAATTCAGTCAAATTGTGGTTCTTTTATACTTTTTAGCACTCCAAAACATTTTACAATTTATACCACAGAAAAAAGAAAAATATAAAATGAACTGCTCTTTATTGTAGAATTATGAAAAGGAAAGTAACAAAATTTTATGTCCTGACTTTTTCATAAGGGCTGGGATCCAACAGGTTGAACTCGTTTTTAAATTCATAATGAATGTACAAGGCCTTTTTAAGAACATGCAAAGTCAATCCCAGTGTTGTTCCAGACATCGGCAGTAAGAAAGACCTCCAGACTCCTCTTTGGTGCATTCAGCAGTGATGGCAAAGATTCTGTGGCTCCACCCACAGGAGATGCAGCAATTATGGGCAGTGGGAGACACATTTTCTTGGGACCACAACTTGACTTCTTGTTTTCGGTTCTTACACAAGACTTCATTACCATGCCTCCCTAGCAAGGGCAAGATCCTGAGTTCCAGTATTGGAAAAAAAAAATAAGAAGAAGAAGAAGGAGAAAGAAAGAAAAAAAAAGAGACTTCATTACCTGTACTGGTACGGTTTGCAGGCCATGAACAGGAAGCAGGAGTCCTTGGATTTGAGTTAAATGTGTTTCTTACATGCAGTATATTGTTGGATCTTGCTTCTTGATCCATTCTGCTAGTCTTGTTTCTTTTGATTGATGAATTGAGATTATAAACACTGATGTTTACTGGCCAGGAATTTAGCTCAGTGGCACCACACCTGCTTTGAAAGCACAAGGTCCTGAGTTCAATCCCTGGTACAAAAAACAAACAAACAACCCAAAGCATTGATGGTTATAACTAATATGTATTGACTTATCCTGTCATGTTATTTTCCTATAGTTGGCCCCCTTCTTTCCTTCTCTGTTTAATTTCTTTTTTTTTTTTTTTT